GGTCCCTCAGCCAGGCCTGTGCCCTCTCGCAGTCTGGGACCCCTCGGGGGATGTCCAACTGCCACAGAGGTGGGAGAGGCTCCTGCCACCCCCATTGTGCTCACCAGCCATGAGCCCAGCTTCTGGCTGAGCGGCACTTCCCCTGTGGGAGCGCACTGACCACTAGGGGGCAGCTCCTGTGTTGAGCGTCTGCCCCCTGGTGGTCAGTGCCCATCATAGCGACCGGTTGTTCCACTGTTTGGTCGATTTGCATATTAGCCTTTTATTATATAGCATATGCATTTTTTGTTGTTCATTCTAATTAATTCTCCCCATTAGAGTTGGGAGGATGGAGCCTGAGTCCCAGCACAGAGCCCCACCCCGCAAACCCCTCCAAGCTGAGGTCTCTACTCACCAGCTGAGAGGGGCTTTGTGTCTGTGACGGAGGTGGAGCTGGGGGCGGAGCTGGGGGTGGAGCTGGGAGTGGAGCTGAGGGTGGAGCTGAGAACTCGGGGGGCTCCTGTGAACAGGGCAGGGGAAGGGCTGATGCTCTGTGGGGGCTGCTTGGGTTCCTCCCACTCGGCCTGGCCCCCTTCCACCCTGAGAGTCCACCCACAGGCCACATCTGTCCATCACTCAGTCCCAGACGGCACCCTGAGCTATGGGGGGGCAGGAGAGGAGGAGAGCCCTGCTCCACTCTGCTGGAGGTTCACTCCTCTCACCTCCCACCATCAACAACTTGTGGCCTCACAGAATCAGCAGGGAGCAGCTCCCCTGAGGCCCAGGGACATGGAGGGGGTGGAAGGGAGTCCTTTATGGACCCTGAGTCCAGGAGGTCTCAGGGGCTGACCACACACAGGGAGGACACCTTCATGCCCCAAATCCCTCAGAGCACCGTCCCGCCACCCAAGACCATGGGACTTGCCCATGGAGGGTGGACCCCAGTGGACACATTGCCTGGGCCCCACAGAGCCCGGCCAGGGGAAAGGGCAGGGCACCACCATCCTGAGGGGAAGGACTCAGGCCCCTTGAAGGGGTCTGTCCCCACCTGGTGGCTGGAAGCTCAGGCCCCACCCAGCCCAGCAGGACAGCTCTGTGTCCCCTCTGGGCGTGGCTCAGGGTCCAGGCCACTGTGGTGTTCAGATGGGGCCAGATGTTAGAGCCCTGAGCCAGGGGCGAAGGCTGAGGGTCATGTGTGCAGGGCGAGGGGAGTGCTGGGGGTGAGCAGGAGGGCAGGGAGCCCGAGGACAGAGACGGGTAGGGACAGGGTGCAGGGCCCTGGGACCCACCTGAGTGTGGAGTGGAGTCGTCCTCCTCTGTCACCTGCAGCAGCAGGGGCTCACTGAGCTGAGACCAGCCATAATTCATACGTTTATAGAGGCAGCGGTAACGCCCAGCAGTCACTTTACTCATCGCGGGGAAGTGGAATCTGGCCTCTTTCTCCCCACCTGAAGACTCACTTTTATGATCATGTACTACAGTTCTTTCACCCTTCTCCAGGCGGAAGAACTCAGCCCAAACTGAGGAATTGCACACGAAGGTCACAGGCCGTCCCCGGGGGACCACAGGGCCTGGCTCGGCCCTGAGGGAGGGTTTGGGCAGGGGCCCTGGGAGGAAGCAGAGCAGGATCTCAGGCTCCATCATGAGGAAATCTCCACACCTCCCACCTGTTTTAAGCCTGCAGCTCAGTGGTTCTTAGCAAACTCACAGAGCTGTGCAACCCTCACCACAGCCCAATTCTACATCATTCGCACCATCCCTTCCCCAAGAGACCACCCATTCCCGCTCCAGGTAACTGAATTCTCATCACTCCAGTGACTTCCCCACGTGACACTCGGACTTGAGTTGTGGTGACATTGTGGCCTTTTCTCAGGGGGACACAGGAGGTCTCAGAGCAGCCTGGGGCCCCGGACATGTCTCCCTCCCCACAGCCACTTCCAGGGGGACATGGAGGGCTGGGAGGGAGGCAGAGGGTGAGGATGAGCAGGTCACTCGTGGTGAGAGGGGGCAGGAGTGTGAGAGGGTGTTTCTGAGTGTCCTCAGCTTGGCTCAGCCAAATGGGAGCGTCTGCAATGGCCTCTAAAAAACAGTCTGATCCCACAATGCCCCGGGGTCTGTTTCTTGGTGATTCCAGGAGACACAA